AGAACATTGAAGAAAAGAATTGAGTTTGAATAAATTTTTCAAAGAAATTGCATTTGAAAATGTAAAAAAATAACAAATAAAGTTGATAAAAAGTAAAAAATTTAGTAGCATTATATATAAATATGTTAAATAATTATTTTATCAAATATTAAATAATTATTTATAAATTTTGGACATCACTGTTCTATTTCGTGAAGAAAAATTCCATTAACAATTAAAATTGATAAATAATGTTTATAAAACTATTGAATTGAAATTATTTTTATAATTGAACAAACACAATTTTCCTAAACTGAATTATTAAAAAAATAATTATTTAGATTTTTAGGAAAAGTAAGAAACTTGAAATGTAAAAATTAAAAATTATACTTAATTATGAAACTATGTTTATTCATTAATAAATGTATATTTCCAAATAAATATATCAAGAACTGAAATGTATTTATTTTGATAAATAAATATATCGTATACATAAAATTCTTCTGTAATGATGGATGTAAATATACCCCTCTTAAACGATTATTTGGATTTTGGTAAATCTTTCTGAAGTGTGTTATGTGAATTTTCTAGGATGTATGTGAATAAAAAAATATAGTAATATTGTAGAAATAAATGGAAAAAATTGCAAAAAACAACATGGCATTGAAAACGTTTGAGGCATTCTTTGGAATTGAAAACAAATGATATCTGCCAAAAATTTCAATTCACTTATGAGCCTAGCCATGCCACCTGCCTTAAGGAAAAATGCCACTTACACTTACAAACGACACGAATAGTCATGCTAATTCCTTATTTATTAACATAAAGAAACATAATGATAAATTATAATAATTATATATTTACAATAGCATTAAAATATCTATAATATTTAAAAACAATAATGTAATTAAAGTCATACTTCAAATGTGACATGATCGGTTTGTCATTGTAATTAGCATTTAGAAATGAACCTTCATTAGAGAAATGAAGTAATTGCTGATTAATAAATTCAATAATATTCGTTCACTCAGTGGATTATGTAAAACAATGCCTAAAGAAACATTGTTTTCACAATTTCACTCATCATATAATAATTGTGTTTGAAGAACTTCATGTAATTAAAATTAATATACATTCATTGACTGCTTGTATTTTTTTTACTTTTTCGCTGGCGATATAATCTCATTCTTTGAGCAGCTATAAAATCTGTCTTGCCTTAATTATTTTCCACGTTAATAACTTCAAAGATTTATAAAAACTACGAATAATATAGAAATAATTTCTAATCAATAAACTTAAGTTTAGTACACGGCGCAAATGTTTAAATTGTTTTATTATTTTCAAGGAACAGGGTAAAATATTCTTCTGGTTGAGGCATTTTTCATGAAATCAAGATTTGTACTACGACGTAACTTTAAAATGTTTATTTATCTATGCCGATTTCCTTGTTGATATCGGTACGCATTCAACGTCGATGCCGGTACGCAAACAAAGACAGATTTACTTACTCTATTAGCATACACGACGACTAATCACAATCGACCCGTATTGAAATGATTTCATCGAAAGTGATTGACGTACAGTTCCGTTGCATTCTCACAGTTTTACACGCTAATCGCGCCTAAAGAAGTTTTAAAAAAGTAAGATCATATAGTAAATATCCATTACCTGAATGCAAAAACACAATTCATGAATCTCCTTAAAAAGGCGCCAAACCACAAAACAATGTCAAAATAATTTGCATCACTACTACACAACTACTATACAACTAAATCAAGCACTACACTTTAATTATATTCTTACATTTAATTATATTTTCACAAAATTAAAATTAACTCACTTTTACCACAGCAATACTAAATTATCACTAAAGCGTTCATCATTCACAAGCGTAAAACTGGCGCGGTTTTTTCGACCCGGTTGCGATGGCGCCCTGGTCGACACCGTTGTTTTCACTACAAAACGCACGAACGAAATGAAGGAGAACGTTAAAAAATTGTCATTAGGTCAACTACTATAGACCATAGATAATGCTGCATTGTCGAGATAGGAACTTTGGTTTATAAACAAACCGAAACCATTTGAAGTTGTATCGATGTATTGTTGTAGGAGATATAATTACCTGTTCTGTAATAAAAATCTGTTAATAATATTAGGTAAAATATTAGGTAACTATCATAAATTTATTACTAGGTATAATATTAGATAAATATCATAAATTTATTATTAACTACTGGTACGTGCAACTTCGATCTCATGGATTTTTTAATACAAGTTAAAGGTTTATGCATTTTCACGTTTTTTTATATGTATATTTATTTAATCATTCAGAAATAATGTACAGGTAATAATAAATTAACAGTTGCTTTATCATGATACTAAAATTTTGAGAATTTTAAAATTGAATTACAGATACAAAACTCCAAAAACTTTTTACAAAAATAATCTTACATCATAACAGATTTTTAATATTTATTTATTCTCCCTAAAATCAATAACTCCTAACATCAATAGCTCCTAAATATTATACATATTAGATATTGAAATTTAACGTGACTGATTCATAAAAAATAATTAGATGACTATAAAAATGGTTGCAAAAAAATATCACATTACTAATGGATTTGACTATTCACTGTATTTTAAATGATTTGATATGAAATTCAAATCTTGTAATTAAAAACCGTGGACTTTAAGTTGATCTGGTTTTGCAAGTCCTGCTTTTTGCTATTTATTTTCAGATTTTTATATTAACTTTATTAAAAAAAATCTTATGCAAGACCTTTGCTCTTTCTCATGCTCATGAAGAGATTTGACTTTCCTTTAATCAAAACTAATAATGAGTAAACAACACTTTTAGCGTTTTTCATGCTCTTAAAGAGATTTAATTTTCCTTTAATCATTGCTAATTAGTGTACATTTAAAAAATGCCTCAGTCGTATATTTATATATATATATATATATATATATATATATATATCTTATATATAAAATTTTTCTGTAATAATGTGTGTAAACATACTCCTCCTAAACGATTATTCGGATTTTGATAAATCTATCTGAAGTTTGTTAAGGGAATTTTTCAGAATGTAGGTGATTATAAAAATATAGTAATATTGTAGAAATAAATGAAAAAATTGCAAAAAACGACATGTTATTGTTTGACATTGAAAATATTTGAGACATTGTTCGGCATTGAGAATATTTGAGACATTATTTGCCATTGAAAATATTTGAGGCATTTTATGGCATTGAAAACAAATGAAAACTGTCATCTGCCAAAAATTTCAACTCACTTATGAGCCTAGACAATATTAGAATACTCGTATGTATAATAAATTCATGATTATAAATAAGAAAAATGAAATGTCTATATTATTATTGCCAAAAAGCAGCTGAGATATGCCAGAAATTAAAATAATATAAGATACAGATACAGTATATGGTTTGGCAGATGAAATTATATAATTCAGTTTGACTGATCATTTTTATTATATTTGTCTTGTTTGAAAATCAATTTGAAAATATTTAAAAACTATTGTTTCTGAACATTGATCGAGTTTTATTGATTGACTATTGATTACACTACGGGAAGTTCCAACAATTTTATTCAGAACATAATGCATTGAAAATAATTAACAAACAATGAAAATTTTCAGATATATATTTTTGAAATAAATCAAGTTTTTCCAATGCTGTTTTTTACATAGTTTGCTCCGCATCTCCAAAACAATTGAACATGCCTTTGCCAAAAACTAATCATCACGTCTCCTTATCAATAAGAATCGAATGTTCATTGAATCATTCAAATCGGTTGATCCGTGCTTTCGAATTCGTGGATGAAAAATTGTATCCATACATACACACATACATGAATTTTTTCTGAGGTGTGCCAAAATGTTCAGAAACCTGTGAAACGTAAAGATATGCAAACATTTTCATTTTCGATTTTTGCAAGATTACAATAACTTAATATAATAACAATATGTGGCATATAGTGGGTGAATTGATAGTTAAAGCTATAAAAAAAACTATGTATTTGCAGTGCATTCTGGTGGTTTACATACAAAAGCTAACCTACAAAACGCACAAGGCATATTTCTGATAACACATACGTGAAGTTAGTTTTGACACATACGTGAAGTTGGTTTTGACACATACGTGAAGTTCGTTACTAATAATTCATACGAATATAGACCCGTAACATAGAATTAGCATAACTTTTCTATTTCATCGGAAAATTCAGGCCAAAATATTTGATAACCTATTTGACAGCTGTCAAATTACACAAAAATTATTATATTTCCTCTTATTTATTAAATTTAAAAGCAACTTGCCTTAAGGCTAAATGCTACTCACACCTAATTTAATGATAATAATAAGCACTTCCCTCACAACTATTTATAAATATAAATATAAATAAAAAAAAACAGATTTAAAATAAATAAAACCAATAAATGTTTATATTTGACAGCTGTCAAATCACTCATAAATTGTTATATTGACTTTTTATGTAAAATAATAATGTATGTTAAGTAAAAGCAACTTGCCGAAAGGCTAAAAGCCATTTATTTATACCTAGTTTAATTTAATTAAACACTTAACTTACAAATATTTATAAATAAAACAACAAATTTAAAAGAAGATAGAACCTCAAATATTTTTGTCGTTTCAACCGATTTAACAGCCGTCAAAACACTCATAAATTATAATATCGACATGTTTTTATTAAAGGTGAAAGCAACTTACCTAAAGGCTAAAAGACACTTACACCTAGTTTAATTCATTTAAACACTTAACAAATATTTGCAAATAAAATAACGAATATAAAATAAATCTTCCTTCAATAACTGTTTTGACAGTTGTCTCGCCATAGATAAATAAACACACCATAGACAGGTATCCCAAAGACATCCCTACCAAGACACAAACCCAAAACATCTCATCTCTCGCACAAATTACACTCTATGCTTTTATATTTGACAGTTCTTCCTAGTGTAAATTTTAACAAGGTGGATACAAGTAAAAATAATAAACAAATACAATGGAGGAAAATTCAACCGAGCAAAACGTCAAAATCGAAATTGCTAAAAATCTAATTAAACCCAGGTATTATAAACAATTATACCGAACCGCTTGGGAGGACATACCGGAATTTAAAGGTCGGAATAAAATCATGTCATAAATTTTTATTTTATTACACAAGTAATAATACACTAAGTAATTTTTATGTTGTGTTCTTTAGGCTGGTTAAAAGGGATTCCTGGACAAGGCAGTAGGGCTTACTGTACGTTTTGTCAAAAGAGTTTACATGCTCATCGATTGTCTTTGTTGAAACACACTTGTACGATTAGACACCAGAAGGCTGCTCAATTGAACTTTATGTCGCAGGTAATAATAGATACATGCCATAATATTTAAACTTCAATTATTCATAAAAGCAACCATTAGTAGTATTTTGCATTATAAGAACTATATTTTAATTTGGAGAAACTTAAGTTACACTAACTGTATTACGTCTTTCAGAAATGAATCTATCTATCTATTACCTAACCTTTTTGACATAAATCACTATCCATAACCATTTTTTCCCTCAGAAACATATGGGCCCCTCCTCAACGATTTCTAATCAAGAGTCTTCTTTAATTCAAGAAGTCACCCTACAAATTCCGAATAACTTAGATGCTATTCATTATTCATTTACTCTATGATATGAATCTAAATATATATTACCTAGCCTTTTTGACATAAATTGGTATCTATAACATTTTTTTCCCTCAGAAACATATGGGCCCCTCCTCAACGATTTCGAATCAAGAGTCTCCTTTATTACAAGAAGTCACCCTACAAATTCCGAATAACTTAGATTCTATTTATGCCGATGAAGATGATAATTTGGAGCCTGAGTTTATTGAAAATGAGGAAGAAGAGGATTGCCAGGATGTGCCACATTACGTCCTGAAGGTATAGAGATAAATATATTATATATATATATATATATATATATATATATATATATATATATATATATATTAAAGTAATAGTATTATATAGTAAATTCAAATAAAAAGTATTTTAAAATAGGTATTTGGTTTGAACTATCTCAGAATTTCTTTCAAGAACAAAATATATAGACTTTTATATATTAAGTCTTCTAATAATGTAATGTGATAGAAACAATTTATTCAAATGGATTAAAACGATTCTTAGATATTTGCACTAACAATGTGGAAAAATTATTTACAGAATGTTAAAGATAATATATTCATATAGGAAACAAAGAATTTTGTTTGTTGTTGATGCATGAAGATTGTATAAATTATAACAAAAAGTCTTGAGCCTTTTTATTAAAATTGAAAAAATGTGATTTTTAATAAAATATTACATTAGTAAGCTTTGAAAATTTTTATTCTTGTGACAAATGAAACTCTATTCATGCCGTCTCTTTTTTGTTTTATAAATGCATTGAGACTTTTAACACTCAATTCTCACAAAACTAATCACGATATTTGATTTAAATTGATTGTTTGGACTTAGTTCTTGTTTATTAATAATGTATCAAAATAAATGCTTGACTCAATCATAAAATAAACAAAATAAATAATAATTTCATAATAATTTCATAAATTAACTTTTTAGGAGTAAACACTACAAAATATATAGAAAATATAAATAACTAAAATTTATAAAAAAACAATTAATAAAAAAAATCGGATTTAGTATGCCATAAATATAAGTTATGGCATACTAAATCATTACTTTTAAATCTTTATTTTTTTTTATAAATTCCAGATATTCATCATATTGTTTCTATACATAAATAATGAATAATATAAAAATAAAATTGAGAAAACTTATAATACAGATTATGGCAAAAAACTTGATCACCAGTCATATTTATTAAAAGAAATTATTAAATTTGTAGTAAATTTTATCTAGTTTCATCTTATCTAAACTATAAAGAGTGCTTTCATATAAAATTTGTGAGTTATTTGACAAAAACCAAAAAATGTCCCGAATTTTCTATTTATTGCTAAATAATGAAAAATCAAATTCAAAGTCGTTTTATTCAAAACTTTTATATCTGAGTGTATAAAAGTGTTTCCAAGGAAATGTAAATTTTATCTAGTTTCACCCTATCTAACTGAAAAAGGGTGCTTTCATATAAAATTTGTGAGTAATTTGACAAAAACCAAAAAATGTCCCGAATTTTCTATTATTGCTAAATAATGAAAAATCAATTCAAAGTCGTTTTATTCAAAACTTTTTTATAGGAGTGTATATAAGTGTTCATATGGCTTTTTAGTAAATTTTATCTAGTTTCACCCTATCTAACTTAAAAAGGGTGGTTCCATATGAAATTTTTGAGTTATTTGACAAAAACCAAAAAAAAAAAATCCCGAATTTCTATTTATTGCTAGCTAATGAAAAATCGAATTCAAAGTCGTTTTATAAAAATGACAATTTATTAATAATTTCGATAATAAGGTTATTGTTCAAATGATGTATTATTAATATTTA